CCACCCCCCCCCCCAAAAAAAAAAATTGTGCCTGCCCCCTCACTTTGTGCGCTCTGGTGCCGACCCTGCTAAACTATATTATCGCCCAGGTCGAATCCGCTAAATCCGACTACAACGTCTGAAGATATTAAGGTATTATAAACAGAGCTGGGTAGATTACGTACAAACTGTAATCCGTTACTGATTCCAAATTACATGACAAACATTGTAGTTAGTAACGTAATCATTTACATTTAGTCATTTAGCGGACGCTTTTATCCAACGCGTCACGTTGCGTAGCAACGTTTGTAGTTCGGGAAGAAGGAGGCGGGAACCGGCGGCGCGCACAAACAAAACCAAAACACAAAATAAACTCCAGGCCTGGTCCTCTCTCGTCTTTCACTGTTGTCACTCCTACTTTTATCCTTCCGGAGCTCCTCCGTGAGACTCGAGACCGGTGAGTGGCGCAGGTGTCGCGCATTAGCATTTACTCCACCGGCCTCGCTCCGTTCCCACGGCTCTCGGCCCCGCCCCTCTCGTCACAGGGACAATATAAACAATCAAAACTAACAAAAGAGCAACAATATGTAAGTGCAAATGACAAGTCTCGGTTAACCTAACGCAGAACACGTAGCAAGTTTTTTTATTTTATTTATATATATATATATATATATATACATTACACACACACACACACAAAGAAAAACAAGTAGATAGAATAGAAAAAAAAACAGAAAGCTAGTGTTAGTTTTTTTATATAAAAAAGATAATAGATAAAGTAGAATTAAAATAGAATAGAAAGTGCTAGAGCTAGAGGGTCAAATAAAGATGGAACAGATGTGTTTTAGTCGTTTCTAATGTAATCCGTTACATTACACATTTTAGGTAATATAATCAGACTACTTTTTGATTTCTTTTAGATTATTTTGACCTAACTTGTTTATCACATTGATTTAAATAGGATCATCTTGTACCATATCAATCTAAAAATGCAAAGGAAAAGAAAGTATATTCCATTTGTTGTTTTTGACAAAATGAAGTGAATTAAACATTACATTATGTCAAGGTTTCTCAAACGGGTTCGTAAAGGAACTGCAAGGGATTTGTGAGTTTAATGAAAAGCAAATAATTAAATCATAACGATGTAAAATTAAAATAACATCAATCAAAATAAAACTTTTTATTTAAAACAATATATATATTATTTGTATACCTGCATGTCATGTGACCATTACCCAACATCAGAGAACCGTGAACATGCAAATGTTAAGTATTAAAATGTTTATTTTAAAATCTCAGGGGTACTTCAAGTAAATATATAAGGTTAAAGAGGTTCGGCTGACAAAAAAAGTTTTGGAATCCCTGCATTAGGCACATTACATGTAAATAAGAAATAACGTGAATTTGTGCATTTTAATGTGTTTGAAAGACAAAAACCTTCCAAAGACAAAGTAATACATGTTCATCAGTAGTTGATGTAATGTTGAAATGCTAAGAAATCACTTCTTAAAACTGAAATGATTGTTGTAAATCCAGTGGTCAAATGCTGTGTGGCCTCTCAAATTTCTGTGTACGGTAATTATATCCACCTGGCTAGTGTCTGGTCTTTCTGTGAATGTCCGCAAAACTAGAAGAATTTCTGACTGTAGCAGTAGGCTATTTTAGAAAGGAAAATTATGAATATATATATGAACATAATTTATTGCCATTAATTGAATAATATGTAATCATGTAATCAATAAAAATTTACATGTAGTCTGATTTGGAGTAGTTTAAAATGCAATTTAATCTAATTACAAGTACTTAATTTTTGGAATCTAATGATGTAATCCAGATTA